AGTGATGAAACCATTAGTTGACTTTCTAATAATTTTTCTCGAACTTTTAATCCTTCTAATGTACTATCAAGTTCATTCTAAAGAGAAAAATTAAACCAAAAATAAAAGTCTTTTGTTCTTTCATACATCAATTTTTTCTAATGAAGTATAATTGTTTTGTATTCGAGATAAATCATTATTAAGTTTATCAATTTGTTTTGTTGTATCTACTTTAATACCTGTTTGTTTTTTTATTTCAGTTTTATACTAAAAAATAAATAATTCAAATGAGTTAATTTTTTTTTGAATTTCAAATAAATTATACTAAGTCAATTTGTTCTTTATTTGATGCAATTTCTTCTTGATAATAATTAATTTCATTACTCATCTTTTGTGCTTCCATTCGTAATGCTGCCTAGAAAAAATAATATATATATTTATATATAAAAAAAGAAACAATCTATTTTTACATCTTCTTTTTGAAGAGCTTCAATTGAACCCATTGTTCGTTTAAATAAAAGTAAACAATCTGCTAATTGATTTAAATGCATAAGACGTTCTTCTTGATCTATATTAATAATTACTCATATATTGCATGTATATATATGTATATTAACATACTCGATACTGTAAGTAACCAAAGACCATAGTGACCTTCATCAACTTCAGCTTCATCATTTTCACAATCAGCAATTGTATGTAAAAAATTTCTATATAAAAATAAATCATATTTCTATAAAATGTTTTTATGACAAAAAAGAGAATATTACAAAAAACAAGCAGCTGCTTGAAGACGATCAATAGATGCTTGTTGTTGAGTAGCAAAAAAATCACCAAAATAAGTACTTGTCAATTCAAATGCTAAATCTTGTAATTTATCTGTCTAAATTAAATAGATTTAGAAATTACTTTTTTTAATAGAATAAGAAAAAAATATTAACTTTTTCAATATCAGTCCATGTATACTTCTTTTTTGAATCAGGTAATAATTGTCGAATTTTATCAACAAGTTGTTGTTCTCGATTAGATCCCATTGTATTATTTAAAAGAATGAATGAGAAAAGACATGAATTCAATTCAATTCAACTGACATTACAAGTCTTTGTCCCGCGTCATTGAGAAATTCAATTGGTCAATTCAATTTCCTCGATAGAAAATTATAACAATATAGTTTCCCATTAGTGACATCTCAAGTAATGTAGTGATCAAATTCAACTTCGACTAACTTTTTCATTATCATTACAATATATCGACATAAAAGTAGTTTTCGAAACTATTTATACACTTGAATCTAATACTAATAAATACACAACGAATTAAATAGAAAAGAAGCATTAACAATATATAACAGTTGCCTGTCTTCTTTAAATATAATATAACATTAAATTAAAACTAACAGTAATTGTTCACTAGTGTCATCTATAGAAGAAATGTTCTTATTAGGAAATAATTTGTATTGTCAAGGCTGTTTAAAAATCTTCCGTTATTTCTCTAATCTCTAACGTATCGATCATTAGATTTTTTTTTCTTCTTTAAATAAATCCATAATTATCCACAGTCTACAATTCTCACGCCCTGTTTACTCATCAACGGTCAACCTTCTACTTACTCAATCATTCAGTTATTTATATAAATCTATTCATGGAAAATTCTTCATCTTCTTCATCACCTAATAAAGGTGAATTAGTTGAAAATATGTTTAAATCATTTAATACATATACAAATGAATTACAACAAGGTTTGTTTATTTTTCTTTGTTTAATTTTGAAAAGTAAAATATTTTTATTTCATATTAAAGAATTAGAATTACTTAATCGAAAAGTTTCTGATCAAATTCGAATAGAACAAACTTGTGATATATCTCAAGAACAACGTACGAGATTTCGATACTTTTTATATTTTACCTATGAAAATTTTTTCAGTTCAAAATGATTTAATTAAACTTCGTGCAACTATTGAAACAAATTCTGGTAAGATTATTCCTATATGAATTTATTTATTTCTTTCATCTATCAGTAAAACGATCAATTTTTGATCGAAATTTAAATGAACGAACGACAATGTCACAATCGTATGATTAGGAAGAAAAAAAAACATAAATATATTTTTTCGAAAATTGCATGCTAGGAGTGTATTTTATTTTGAAAGAGAAAAATAATTTAATGGAAAAACATATATTTCTATTGAATTTTTAGGTTACATTCTCAAATTATTGATAAACGTGAAGAACAAAATATAATTTTGGATAAAATCAATATGATGAAATATAATCATCATCGAAATATGTTAGATAAAAAAATATATATTTTAAAAATATTACAATTTTTTTTAGTGCAAAAATAAGTGAACAATGTGCGAATTTAACTATGGCTTTTCGAACAAATTATCATGCTTATGTATAATTAAAATTTGTAAAATAAAAACATCGAACCATTCTATTTTTTAGGCTCGAGCTGATCTTGGTGAAATTCGAAAAAAGACTGAAAATCGATTAAAAATAATAAATGACGAAGTATCCAATGCTGAATTAATTCTTGTTAATGATAAAGATAAACTTATTGAATTAAATAAAAAACTTGATCATGAAATCACTCATTTTAATTATTTAAAAGAATCAATTGATATAATTGCGTATGAAAACAAAATTTAAAAAAATTTCTTTTTCAAAATTCATTTTTCATAGAAATAAAATTCAATTAGATTATGAAGATTTGGTTAAATTTAATAATCTTGAAAAACAATTAGCTGATATACAAATATCAATCAACGAATTAGAAGCTTGGCATAATCGAACAAGTAACCAAATTAAATAAATATATATTTTATTATATAAGAAAAATTTTATTTTTAGATTATCCATCAGATAAATAATTATATGATTTCATTTTTTTTTGTTTCTTCCAAAATAAAAACTTAGATTTAGATAAATAATTAGAATAAACCTTGATTTGTTGTTTTTTTTTTGTTTATTTTTGATTTAATATTATGGCAAATACAACAGATGAAATGCGACAATATCGTGAAGCTTTTTCATTATTTGATAAAGATCATGATAATATAATTGCACCACAAGAACTTGGTAGAATTTTATTCAAAAAAAGAAACTGATAAATATTTTGAAATTTAGGTGTTATTCTACGTTCATGTGGTTTATCACCATCCGAAGCTGATTTACAAAAATTACAACAACAAACTGGAAAAAAAATTGATTTTGATACATTTGTACGAGTTGCACAAAATTTTAAAGCAAGTCATCGTGAAACAGAAGATGATATACGTGAAGCATTTCGTGTATTTGATAAAGATGGAACTGGTTATGTTAGTGTTGCTGAACTTAAGCATGCTATGATATCATTAGGTGAACGATTATCAGAAGAAGAAGTTGATGAATTAATACGTGAAGCAGATATTGATGCTGATGGACGGTAAGATTTCGAGAGAAAAAAAATATTTTTTTTCATTTTTTCTTCTTTGAATTTTAGATGCAATTGTGAAGATCTCGTACGAATTTTAACAAATAAACAACGTTAATCAGAGAATTGATATATTTTAAGAATGAACAAAAAATATCTACATTCCATTTATTCATCTTTTTTTTTGTTTTTTGTAATATAGTCTTTAGATTTCATTTACATTCCTTTTTCTTTTTATGTTATATTTAAGAATGATTATGATTTCCTGTGCTTCTTTTTAACTTTGAATGATATAAACAGATAAATACATTGATTTCTTTTCTTTATTTGATTTACAGATGATGACTATATAATAAGGAGAAAAATGTTATCAAAAAATTTCATTCGGTAAGTATAGTTCATTTTCTTTTTCAAATCAATATACTAAAAGTTATTCCGATAGATGTCTTATTGATTCAAATAATACAAAATATCAACAGATATTTTTACGTTATGCTAGTACGGTATGTGAAATAGATGGGAAATAATTATAAAAAACTATAATTTATTCTAATAATAGAATTCGAAAGAATCTGTTAGTGATTCAAAAGAAAAAGTGGTTCCGAAAGATGAACTTCATTCATTTATTGTTCGATGTATGTTGAAAGTTGGTACACGTCCATCGCATGCAGAAGTATTAGCAGATAATTTAAGTATGGCAGACTATCGTGGTAAATAATTTTACATATACGATATTCAAATACTTAATTTGTATTTATTAGGTCACTATAGTCATGGATTAAATCGACTTGATATGTATGTAAATGATATAAAAAATGAAACAACAGCAAAAGATGGTTAGATTTTTGTTTTTATAGAAACAATTTTTGTTTATAAGATTTGATTTGATTTTTAAAGGTGATCCAATTATTCTTAAAGAATCACCTGGAACAGCATTAGTTGATGGACAAAATTTATTAGGACCTTATGTTGGCAAATTTTGTATGGATATTGCTATGGAAAAAGCAAAGAACATTGGTATTGGATTAGTTGCTGCTCGTCGTTCAAATCATTTTGGTATTGCTGGGTATTATTCATTAAAAGCCGTTGATAAAGATCTTATTGGTTGGGCAGTATGTTTATCTTTTATTGGTTAATGTATTTAAAAAGAAAAACATCTTATCCTTCTTTAGTTTACTAATACAAGTCCACTTGTTGTACCAACACGTTCAAAAGCACAATCATTAGGTTTGAATTCTTTTTTTTTTATCTTATAATAAAAAGAATAAATAATTTTTTATATATTTTTTTATAGGAACAAATCCCATGTAAAATAATTTTATTGAAATTTTATATATATATTTATATTAATTTTGTAGAGCATTTGGTGCACCTGCTTTAAATGGTGATAGTTTTATGCTTGATATGGCAACATCAACTGTTGCATTAGGCAAAGTTGAAATTAGTCAACGACGTGGTAACGATATTCCAAATACATGGGGTGTTAATGCACAGGGTGTACCTGTAACAAAACCACAAGAAGTACAAGGTCTATTGGCATTAGGTGGCCCAGAAGAATCATCTGGTTATAAAGGTTATGGTTTAGCAATGATGGTTGAAATTCTATGTGGAATATTATCTGGTAAATAACATCATTTTTCTTTTGTATTAATCAATGAAAAACGATATTAATTTCTAGGTAGTCATTTTGGACCATGGATTCGTTCATGGAAAGCAAGTACAACTGAAGCTAATCTTGGACAATGTTTTATTGCTATTAATCCAAATGTATTCGAAGATGAATTTGAAGAACGTTTACAAAAATTAATTAATTATTGTCGAGCATTACCACCATCAGGTTTATTAGTATTATTTCAATATTGTATTTATTTATAAATTAAATTGATTTAGAATCTGGTAAACCAGTTCTTATTGCTGGTGATCCTGAACGAGCACATATGTTGAAATGTGACAAACTTGGTGGTATTCCATATCCTCCATCACAAATTGAATTCATACATACTCTAGCACGTTCATTAAAAATAGATACACCTACTATTCAATAAATGATTCAATCGTTTGTTTGATTTCCTTTTTTTAAATGCAATTTATTATCTACTTATTTATCAATCAAAATTTAACTATCATATCATGTGATTCATTATGCAAGAAATGAACCTTTTTTTTTTGATTATTTATGTTTCCTGTATAAGAAAAAACGATTTTTAAAATAGATTAATTTTGTTTTTTTCTTTTGAATATGCGAAACTGATTTACATATATATTCTTATTATATATAGATCATTTAAAAAAAGAATTAAAATAAAATGTCATCACGTCGTTTATCTCGTAGTCAATATGCTATTCCAAAACATTATGATGTTCATTTAACAACTGATCTTGATTCTGGTCAATTTTGTGGTTCAGTTAAAATAGATTTAATTATTGAAGAACATAATCAAACATATATTAAACTTGATACATCTCATTTAATAATTGATCTATCATCTGTATCATTAATATTAATATCATCATTAACAAAACTTGATTGTTCAGTTGAATTTAATGATTTAAATGAATTTCTTGAAATTCGTCTTTCAAATAATCAAACATTCTCTATGAATATTCCATATCGTTTAATAATTAATTCATTTTCCGGTCATATAACAACCCAAAATCATATTGGATTTTATCGTTCAACTGTTGATATTTTATCTTATAATAATAATCATAATAATAATAATAATTCCAATGAAACGTCAATTATAAAAAAACATTATGGTATAACACAAATGTCACCAACACATTGTCGTCGAGTATTTCCTTGTTTCGATGAACCATCATTACGTGCAACATTTGATTTAACACTGGATGTTCCAAGACATATGCATGCATTATCAAATATGCCACAACTTTATTCTCAAGATAATCTAATGAATAGTGGAACAAAACGTATACGTTTTCAACGTACACCATCAATGCCAACATTTCTTCTATGTTTTGTTATTGGAGAATTTGATGTTCTTAAAAGTGAACCTGTTGAAAGATTAAATAAAGATAATGGGTATGTTAATATTAAGAATATTTATTTTTTTTGAATTTGTATTCTGTATTTTAAATAGATTATCTCCAATTGAATTAACAGCATATACATTACCGGGTAGAAAACATGAAGCGACATTTGCATTAAATTGTGCAAGAAAAGCTTTACATTATTATGCTGATTTATTTCAAATTGAATATCCAATGCCAAAACTTGATCTTGTTGCTGTACCTGATCTTTTCTATCCAGCTATGGAAGATTGGGCACTTATTCTTTTTAAAGTTTGTTTAAACAGTAATCAATATTAATAAAATATTCTATGTTTCTATAGGAAGAAGAAATGTTAATAAATGAAGAGCATGCGAATAGTATTCAATATCGTAATGTTTGTCAATCAGTAACACATGAAATAGCTCATCAATGGTTTGGTAATTTAGTAAGCATTCATTGGTGGAATGATGTATATGTTATTGAAGGTTTTGCTAAATGGTTTGAATATTTAGCAACCGACTATATAATTCCTGAACATAATGTATTTTCTGAATTTTTTACTACACAATTTGTACGTTATTTTGATTATTGTGTTAATATTCTTCATAATGAAGCCGATGATCTTGATGAAAAAGATTTTTCATTTGAAGGTTATATTTATTCGAAAGGTTCATGTTTAATGCGTATGTTACATTTATTTATTGGACAAAATGATTTTCTTGATTCTATTCGATTATTTTTACAACGATATTCATATCGTACAGCAACTGCAATTGATTTTTGGACATGTGTAGAAGAAACAACAAAATTACCAATAAGTACATAGAAAAATTTCAATAGATTATTTTTCATATAAATTTGTTTTTCTCTAGAAAAATTAGTTCATAGTTGGTGTACAAAAAAGAGTTATCCCGTTGTACAAGTTAAAATAATTGGACATGATGAAACAACAGGTAGGAAAAAAACATTTTAATTTATTTTTTTGTCTATTGAAATTTAACTATAGGAATTTGTGATTTGGAATTAAAACAAATGAGTTTTTGTCGTGGTCATGAACAAGATAAAAAAGATTCATATGATAAAAAAATATCTTGTCATTGTATTAGAACAAATGATTTAATATGTGATACAAAACGAGATGTAAATATCTATCAATCAAATGAAAATGATCAAAATTGGATTATACCAATAACAATATTAAATAATCAATCGAATTCATCTCTAACAAAACATTTAATGACAAATAAACAAGAAATTATACATATTAATACAAATTCATTAATAGATATTGAAGAACAAAATAATAATAATGATGATGATGAACCATTGATCAAAAAACGTCGTGGATGTTCATCATCATCATCAGTATCAAATTGGTTTAAACTAAATGTATGTTCAGGTGGACCCTATCGAGTATTTTATTCATCTGATATGTTAGAACAATTAATTCAAGCTATTAATAAACAAGAATTAAATACATTTGATAGATTTAATTTACAAAATGATATGTATGCATTAGTTATGGGTGGTTTTACATCATTAGTTGATTATTTAAATTTACTTTTAAATGCATATGTTAATGAATTAGATGATGAACTTGTTTGGAAAGATATTGAAAGTAATATTATAAGAATTGGAACATTATTAGAATATAATAAACAATTATTTGATTATTATCGACAATTTGTACTTTTTTTTCATCGAAATTTATATCAAAGAATTGGTTTTACATCATATGACAATGAACCAGTTGCACAAGGACGTTTAAGATGTTTTCTATTAGTTATTCTAGGTAAAGTATTTGAAGTATTCATTCGGTACAGTGAAAAATTAATCAAAATTTCATCTTATTATCTTTTTCTCACGTCGTTTCCTGTGACATTTGTTGAATATCCATCAATCTTCTTTTCTTTGATTAATAACTTCATGCTGTTTTTCACTACCCATATTAATTAAAACCAACATAAATTTATTTATTAATATATATGTGATTTTTTCTTAAAGGTACAATTGGTCATGATTCATCGATAATATCAAATGCTCGTGAACAATTACTTGTATATTTGAATAATTCATCAGCAACTGTTCTTTGGCCAATATGTGCTATTGTAGCTCATCATGCATCGGAAAATGATTTAAATAATTTATTTAAATTATGGGACCAACGTTCACGTCGTGATGATCGTCTTCGTTGTGCATATGGTTTATCCTATGTTCAAGATGCATCACATATCGATCGTGTATTAGATTTATTTACAATAAATAATAATTTTATACGTTTACATGAACGTATTGAATGTTATAAAGGTTTTTGTTTAAGTAAACAAGGTCGATATTATTATCAACGATATATTGAAAATAATTGGTTATTATTACGAACAAATTATAATGATGAATATCTTGAAGCACTTATACGTGAAACATTTGGATATTTTTCAACAAAAGATGAAGCAATACGTATTGAAGAATTTTTTCTTTCAAATGAAACATTTAATCAAAAATATAAAATAAATATTAAAGAACCACCAGCAACACCATGTACACGTATAGCTGTACATTTATGTTTAGATGATAATGAATTATCAACAATAAATAAAAGTAGTTTACCATCACCTATACTTAATCATCATCATTCAATGATTCCAAATAAAGTTAAAGAAGTTGCTTCAATTATAGCTCATACAACACGTACACGTGCTGCTTTACTTGAACGTGATTATGATAGTTTACTTACATTTTTTCAATCAAATACTTTTCCGAATATATCAACTAATGCAACTACATCCAGTCAGATACTTTCAGTTAATACACCCAATATATCAAATATGGTATCATCTTGTTCGCCAACATTGACAACAAGTGGTAATAAACGAAAACGACGACTTTCCTCTTTAAATACAAGTACTTCATCTCCGCCAGTACGCAATCTATTAGCATCGGATACAAGTGTTTAATAGTGAAAAAAGTCAATTAATATTTGATTTTTGAGTTACTTTGTGTGTGTATGTGTGATGATTGCCGCATACGATCTCATTTTGTTTTTTTCTTTTCGTTCTTTCAATCTCTCTCTCTCTCTCTCTCACTCACACTTGCTTTTTACTTGGTTTCTTTTTCTCTGGTGAATCTATGTGCTATGTGATTCTTCGTTATTTTGTTTTTGTTTGTTTTCAAAAGTTTCTTGCTGTTAATCGAAGATATTAATAAAAGAAAACCGATATGAGTCTGTATATAAATATTGATAATGAAAAGAATTTTATCGATCATATCTAAAATACGATAAGAAAACGAAAAAAATAGTATATTACTATATCATGAATAAAGATGACACAATGTCATACAAAACAATAATAACAGCTGGTATTTTGTATTTCTAAAAATAACTCGATTTGTAGACTTACAAAATATATATTTTTTTGTCTGATAAATATAATGTTACAATCGGCGAAAATACATGACACTATTTTTAATTAAATTATATTATTAATTTTATATAAATAGAATTTTTTCTTTCTATAGAATAAAACAATATTAGTTGCATCAACAACTATGAATGATTAATATGTTCGGACTCTTTTCTCTTTTTTATCATCGACTTCCAATATAATAAATTATTTTCTATTGAGAAACAAAAAGAGTTTGTAAAAATATTGGACTAATAACTTTCATTATATCGTTCTTCTAGTACAATAAAATACGCACATATATATATACTTTGTTCTCGATTAAAAATAGAAAGTCATTTAAAATATACATGATTATATTCTTTATTTTTCTTTCTTAGAATAGCATCAATAATAACTTAAAATAGAAGTAAAGTGAAAGGCAATTTCAACATTCGATTATATGTCAATATGTATCGAAATAAAATACATATGGCGAGTCGTTTTTTTCCTCTTTCATATAAATCACTTTATTAAATGCTAAACTATATAAACTGTCTCTCTCTCTTTCTTTCTTTTTTTGAAGTCGTGATTAGAGAATCGTTTTTTTCTTTCTTGACATCTTGTAAATGGGTTATAGATATTGATTGTTTGAGAAATGATAAATATTCTCTCGTTTCTATTTTTATGTTTGTATATATTTTCTCCAACAACGTCATACTCATTATTACATAAGCGCGAAACATACTAAAAATAACAATCACCTATTCTATTCGTTGTTTCATTAGAAAATTTGCGTAAGGTTATTATTATTTATTATTATTGTTGTTGTTATCGAGTGAAATACGAAGCGAAGAAAAAAAATTGAGGACTCGACTTTGCCGTCTTTCTTTTTTTTTCTTTTATAGAATTTATGTCTTTTTTTTGCAATAAATAGTAGAAATCTACTCAGAACGAAATATAAATTATTTCATGAATAGAAGAGAAACCCTTTATGATAAATGTCTTTTCCTATTAAATACTATTTCTATTATAAGAACTTAAATAAATAGTTAAATGATGAATATTATACCTACCTACTGAATATATCTAATGCGTAGAAATATTATTTTCTTCTTCTCTCTATTATTCACTAATCAAGTCTTTGTTCTATCTTATTACGTTCTTCTTTTTTTTTGTTTCTATATAAATCTCCAGATCAATATATATATATATATAACACAACTACATTCATTATCCATGCGACGACACTCATTAGGTCCCGAGAGTCTACGAAAACAGATTATCTCTGTGTTTACTCCATCATCACGCAAACGTCAAAATTCAACAAATAATGAACCTAGCAGTCATGCTATATCCAATACTGGTCGACGTACAAGACGCTACAGTGTTCCTAATAAAAAATACTTAGATTCATCCAATAATAATGGCGAACTTCATACAATTAATGAAGTAAGTCACTTTAGCTTTTTATAGAAAAAAAACATATTTGTTGCATGCTTTGCTTTTTGCTTATTTGCATATTATTAATATTTCATGAGAAAGAAAACAATTCTCAAAAGTTTATAGATTATCTAAATTTGTATTCTATCTCCGAAAATATGATAGAAATCTAATTTATTTTAATTGAATTTAGTTAAGAAATACTTCGATTTCTGATGACTATGAGCATGTGATTGAAAGTACTTATAATTGTGTAAATCTCGAATTGTTGCTTGATTTGCAAAGGAAAGAAAATAAAAATAAGAGACATTATTTGATGGTTACATACACATGTATGTGTGTATGTTGTCTTTGTTTTTGCTTAATGTTCTGTCAATATATATGTCGGTAAACTTTCATAAATAAATTTGTTAAAAGCATTTCACGAATTACGTATTTTTTTACTTGTGATTTTTGTAATTTTTATTTCGCATAATATTCGTATGCAATCAATAAACAACACATCTGTTTTGTATTCTGATCTAATGTAAATATCATTTTCAATCAACACCGAGCTAAATATTATTGCCGGCAGGAAATAAAAAAAAAAGAAAAAAGAACGAGAAAAAGAATTAATTGAATAAAAATTATCGCTAAGATGGATGCTTAGTGCAGATAATAGATATTAGTATGGACCATCGAAATAAATAAAAAAAAATGCACAAAAAAACCTATAATAACCCTCCTACTGTACTTACTAACGTTGTTGTCACCGACAAACATAATTCTCTCGGTTTTCTTTTTATGCTTACATTCCTTTCTTTTTTTTTTGAGATGAAAAAAAAACACAGTGTTAACAGTGACGACAAAAGACGCCAGCAGGCAAACTTTCTTGCCTATTCTAAGTGACATAAAAAAAGAGTAATAGTGCTTGGATATAAAGAGAAAGAGACGTTAAGAGAGAGGAGAGAGAGAGAAGAGAAGGAAAAAATTACACGAGATTTGCAACTACTATATAATAAACCAAAAATATTCAACACGGGTGGCTTTTGTCTGTATGTATTTAGTCATTGTCTTACTGTAAAACAACATCCGCCATTTTTTTTATTTTATTTTGATGTTTTACTAAGATATACGATTAACTGGTTTAATAATGACATGTGATAGAAGAAATACTTTATTTGCACCTGTAAATACATTTAATTTTACATCAAATGATCGAGTACGTCGATATTCAACGCCTGATAAGCAAGATCTTGAAACAATTTATGAGGTAAATAAAAACAAAATCATTAAAAACAACTCCTCGTTTTATTAGTTCCTTTTGCTCTTGATTACCATATGGTCGAATAATTATTTGGATTTAAATAAATAGGAAATCTTCCCTACGCTGACTCTCCTATTCTTCTTTTTTTGATATTTAAAGAAAAAAAAGGATTCTATTAATTGTTCATTATATAAAATAAGGACAAGTTAAATGGGTAAATGTTACTAATTGTGACATCTATCTATATCTAAATATATAATTCATGTAAACTTTAACAGTACATTTGAGGAAAAAAACATGACTACCAATGATGGATTAAAGTTCAAAACACTTAATAGAAATAAAATTTTTTAGAAAAAAAGAAAATTATATTGTAAAACATATAATTATTCATGTCTGATAAACAGAACATTTCTTTTTTTTTTCTATTCACCTCAATGACATTCAGATGTTTTATATTATCTATACTCATTAATCGAATAGAAATAGACAGAGAAAAACTACCTATCTTTTGACAAATCATAACAAAAAATATTATCATATATGTATAATAGATAAGAAACAAGTCAGCCTTGGTATCTAGGTTATTGATGAATAATCATAATCACTATGATATGATTATTATTTAAAAAATTTTATTATTTTTAATTAGTTCTATATCTTATTGAAAAGAATAATCTTGTCATATTTTTAACTGTCACGAACAGGATGCACTATTTTAAGTCCAGATGGTATAAGTCATGTTATTTTTATTCGATATCTTTTATAGATTCTAAATCAAACTTTACTTTAACTATGTTCTTTTGACATTATTTCCTACGTGATTATTTCATAACGCATCGAACTAAATATAATTATTTGTTTTTAATTACTAATCTTCATTATTCAATTTAACACAATCACGTTTTTTTAGAAATTCGTATGAAGTTTTTTTTTAAGTAAACAATTATTTATAGAATAAATATATTGAGTTTACCTGGATTATTTTTTTTTCCATCGTATAAATCGAACAACAACTTATGTAGATCTTCTTGATGTTGTGGAAAAAATAAATGATCCATATAGAAATAATCTAAGAAATATTTTAAATATTATAATAAAATTACCTGAATTTATTCAAGAAGATAATTGAATGAATAAATAAATCATTTTTTCTTCTTCTTATTATTGGAATGTCAAATACTTGAAAAGTGAAGAGGACTATTTATTCCGGAAATTATTATTAGAAATAATTTTTGAAAATAGAAAAAAAAACGATTTTTATATTGTCGTTCTTATTTTTATCTTTATCATTGCGAATAAAATCGTGTTATATTTCTCTCATATTCATTAAATAACAAAAAAAAATGTAATTCAATCTATTGATGTATGACTTTTGAAAGATTTTATAGGTTAGACAATAAAATAATATGATTTCGATGAAAATTTTCAATGAAGGTAATTTAAGGAAGAAAAGAATGTTTGTTCTACTTTATACAATCGAATGATAAACAAAGAATATCAGTTATATTGTGTGTAATGTTACTATAAAAATTTCTCAGAAAAATTATTGACGTCATATATATATATATATATATATGGAGAGAGAGAAAGCTATGAATCAGATAGTGACTAATACAGATGATTTACGTAAATGCGTTTATGACGCTTTAATAACACATTAACAAGTGCTTTTTTCTTCTTTTTTTTCGTATATTGTTGATTACGTTTTTTATTTTATGTAGTAATCTGCACATTGACAATAGTAGATTAATTAAAAAATAGAAGGTATATTTATATAGTTTTCTTTTTCACGTGACTATAATAAGAACAGGTGATTTTGATTAAATCTAATTAGTAATATCTACATATTTCTATAGGAGACTCTTTCAATGTATATGTAACCTTCGAAGATCAAGACGAGTTGAGTGAGTTATATTCATCGTTTTCTTTGTTGACTTGCGTTCTCATCATTTTTTCTTCATCAATAATATTTTCCTCCCTCCCTCACTCTCTCTCTCTCCCTCTTATTCATTCATTTTTCTCGTTCTCATCGTTATTGTTATTAGTTAGAATACAAGTAATAGCCAGAAATTTTGGGAAGTGAGAAGCAAAGAACTTTTTTTTCTTTGTCGTTTACTACAAATACACGACAGAAGAATAAGACGATGCAATAATGGGTAAAGCAACGACTATAGAGCAGAAGAAAAAAAAAGAACAGGATGTATAGATAGATGTATGTGCGTGTATATATAATGCGAACGAAGAAAAAAAGCACTCGGTTTTTTTCCCATCACAAATATTTTATCCATCCCTCCCAAATGTGCAATATATGACGTCCGAGAAGAAAAAAAGAGAAACATTGGATTTACTTATGAATTATTTTTTTTGTAAATCAAAAAATAATGAGAACAGAAGAAGAAAACAAAGAAATATTTTGTTCGTTTTCATTTTTTTCATATATATATAGAAGCCATTTTTATATTTTTGAGAAAGATTGAATTGAAAAAAATGAAGAAGAACTGGAATATATCAGGAGAGTTTCATATTTCAGTATGTATAGATTCATGTCTTTTTTTTTCTTGTCCAGAAATTAGGAAGCATCGTTCTCTTCTCTTTCTCATATAATTTGAAAGATTTTTTTTTCCTCTTCTTTTCTTTGATTCGAATTTATCCAAATGACAACGATAGTATCGAAAGAGAGAAAAGAGGAAGAATACGAAGACATCAATTTTCTTCGCTAGATAACGGTGACCCTCATATATTCTCTCAATTGAACATATTTGAGTTGGCTAAATGTCAAAAAATGAAGAAGAAAAAAAACGAAATGATTAGTTTATATTTCGTTCGTTCTCGTTGTGTTCATCCGTCCATCTTTATTTTATATTTATGCTTAAAAGCAACAGGATGAAGCATATATATCGAATATACGTATATATGTATATATATATATATATGAATTCGAATGTACGTTTTTCTCTTTCTTTCATACGAGAACAAGAAAAGACGAGAAATGTACGTGAATGCGTCATATTCTTCATCATCATTCATTCATTCATTCAGTCAGTCATTTCTCTTTTTTTCTTTTTCTTTTCTCGCCGCATTTCTAGACGCGAGTATTGAAGGTACGGTTGCTACATACATATATATATATATATGTAATTACAATATATTTTTTTTTCGTTTAAAGAAAGAAAAAAAAACTGAGTAGGAATAACGTTTTCCTATCGAAATAATCATCATCATACCAAACATATATTCATCTCTTCTTTTGTTCATCATCTATAAATTATGACAACAAGTGACTATCCGACTCGAACAACAGTTTTACTCGATACGGTACATGAGCATGATCATGAACATGAACATGATATAAATCATGAAATGGATCATAATAGTTATATTCGACCAATGGTAAGTTAAAAAAACAACAAATAAAAAAAAAAGAATAAATTATAGAATAAGAAATAAGAATAAAAACAAAATTTTAAATTCTTACAAAAAATAAATAAAATAAAATAAAAACATTCTTCATCACATATCATATTTAGAATGAAGCCAATGCTACAGGTAACATTGATCAAGTTGATTTGGATCGATCAATTTCACCAAAATCAAGTCTAGATGGATCTTCAAAACGAAATCGTATTCAAGCCGTATTTTTATCACGTAGTAATGCAAATGATAAAAAAACACATACAGTCTTAGCTAATTCAGTTGGCGTTCTTACTAATTCGACAAATAATACGTCTGGTCCTGGTGGTGGAACAAATGGAACAAATGATGTTTGTGAACATTCAAATGTTGTTGCTGCACTTGCTCTACATGCAAGTGCTGCTATACCTGTCGCTTCATTAGCTGTACCAACAAATAAACCACAATCTACAAATACAACAAATTCAACATCATCATCAGCTAAACAATTTCTTATTCGTCGTGTTCGTTCTCGATCAAAATCTGATCCACAATCTGTACCTGATAATAAATCACTTTTTTCAAGGTTTTTTCCTAAAAAAACTAAAAAACCTTTAGCTACATTATTAACAACAACAACCAAAGCTATCGATGGTCATACAAATGCATATAGTTATAAAAACAGACAAAATGTGAATAATAATTTATTAACAACAAATTATCCAAATTCGAATAATTATGAAGACTATGATGATGACGAACTTGATGAACGTACAATTTCTACTGGTTCATTGTCAGATACTGATCAACAAAATCATAAAGATGGAAGAATAACAGGTATTCGAAGTACAAATACAACTCGAGGTGGTAGTCGAACGAATAGTGGAAATGGAAAAAATACAAGTGCTGGTCCAAATGCTCTTTCATTACCGACATCAGATTCACAATATTATGCGTCAATGTCTTCAGCACCAACGGGTTTTTCTATTTCATATCATAAACGTATGACAAAAGGAAATGATGATCTTCGAATACAAGCAGCAATCGGACGACTTCAACAACAAACTAAACAAGGAACAACAACTAGTGGAGGACCAAGTCAATTGTTGGTATGTCATTTATTGTAGAAAAATAATGCTCATTGTATTTGTGATTTGAAAGGACATTCGCTTTTCTTTTTCTCTTTCTCCTTCATTCATTCATTCACTCATTCAATGTCGTATATTGTGTTTTACTAGTCATTTGTTGTTGGCATAGATCCAACACGACACGCAAAACTAAGAAAGAAAGAACAAAAAAAAATGTTCAGAGATGATAGAATAAGAAGAAAAAAAGAGACTAGAAAATCTTTTTTCTCGTTTATATTTGCTTATGCTAGCTTGCTTTATTTGCTTGATTATTATTAACATAGATACTTTGTTATATCTGCTTCAATTAATATTCTATTTTTCTTTTCATTTTAGTCACTTTTTCAAGATCCAACACGGAGTGGTAATACAAATAATTCTTTTAAATATCTATTATTTATTTATCTATATATTTATATAGGAGCTCAAAGTCCAAATCAAATGAGTGGTACAACTCGTATTAGTAAAACATTTTCTGGTCAGACAATAATTACTAGAAATAGTTCGTCAGATCGACCATCAACATATTGTATACGTCCAACAGTTCGTATTTTATATTGAAATCTTTTTTTTTTATTAAATTTAATCTATTTATTTTTTGTTTAGTCAAGTTCACCAACAAATGACACTGATGACACATTTAGTAAGATATTAAATTTTCAATAAATAAAATTAAAGATTTTTCCTTTTAGTAAGTGATGATGAAATTTATACTCATTTTATGAAAACTCATACATGTTATGATATAATGCCAAAAAGTTCGAAACTCGTTATATTTGATACACAATTAGCTGTAAAAAAAGCATTTTATGCACTTGTTTATAATGGTGTACGTGCTGCTCCACTATGGGATACGAAACGACAAAAATTTACTGGAATGTTAACAATAACTGATTTTATTCTTATATTAGAAAAATATTATAAAGAACCAAATGCTAAAATAGAAGAACTTGAAGAACATAGAATTGAAACATGGAGAGAAGTTCTAAAAGAATATGAAAAACCATTATTATGTGTTAAACCAACGGATAGGTAAGATATTTTTAATTAATATATATAACAAAATAAAAAATAATCATTTCTTTTTAGTTTATTTGATGCAGTTCGAATATTAACTGAAAATCATGTACATCGTTTACCTATTGTTGATCCAATAACAAATAATGTTGTATTTATTTTAACACATAAACGTGTATTACGATTTTTTTATTTATATGTAAATATTAGAGAAAAGAAATTTTGATTGTCACATTTTATATTTATAAATATTATTTAGATTTATGATTGGCCTCAACCAGCATATATGTCAAAAACATTGGAAGAACTCAATGTTGGAACTTATGATAATATGCATATTGTAAGTTATATATATGTTATTTAATATATGTTTAATTTAAATATGAAATAGATTGAAGAAGATACATCAGTAATTGAAGCACTTAATGAATTTGTCAAATATCGTGTATCAGCATTACCTGTTGTTGATAGTACACGAAAATTAGTAAATATATATTCAAAATTTGATGTGATTGTAAGTGAAATAATTGATTTTAATTCTAATATATATATATATATATTCTTGTGTTTCTAATAGGGTCTAGCAGCAGATAAAACATACACAAATTTAAATATGACAATAAAAGAAGCATTATCTTTTCGTAAAGAACGTTTAGAAAATGTTGCTAAATGTTATAAAAATGAATCATTATCTACATGTATGGAACGTATTGTTAAAGCTGAAGTACATCGTTTAGTTGTTGTTGATAATGATGAACATGTTATTGGTGTACTTTCATTATCTGATTTACTTCATTATATTGCTATACGTCCAACTAAAACATCACGTGCAGGAACAATAACAACAACAACAATGCCTATGCTTGTACCCACAATAAATGTATCTAATGAAGATGGTGTAGTAGAAGAAGAAGCAATAGAAAAAACTGATTAACTCATTCTTCCTTTTTCTTTATTCTCTCTCTCTCTCTTTTTTTTGTTCAAAAGCAAAATTATCTGCGATTATAACCCGGTGATCACCATACGTTACATTTTCATTTTTCTTTTGTATACTTGATTACCTAGTTTGAAGATTTCTGCTTCTTTTCTTTTCTTTTTTTTTCTTTTTTCTTATTCTTTTGCGCCTATATATAATGTATTTTATTGTATAACATGTGTATGAAGATATGTGCACGAAATATTTAATAGTACATATCTTTATATATATGAAAAGATTTTCTTTTTTTTTTCTTTTTTATATCTGAATTTGTGTTTGAGTGTGTGTGTGTGTGTGCAAAAAGATTTGAGAGAAAGATTATTTCTTTTGTTAATCGTCTTTCAACTTTGTATAGCGCGCTTGTACTTTTCATTTCACTGTGTATCCTTGTGTTCCGTTTGGGATAGGAATCCCAATGTCTGATGGAGGTTTGATCTTGATATGACAAACAAAAACAAAATTTATGTTTATCTTTTGACAAATAACAGAAAAAAAAACTACTCAGAGAACAAGAAATATATAAATATATATATACATAATGATATTTATCTAATGCGCGTAATAATAACATATATGATAAACCTTTTTTTGTTGTCTTCTTCATCATTTTTAACTATAGATGTATATATGTAGATAAAAACAATGTATGGAATATAGTTAATCACAGTTTTTATTTGAGTATATATCTACAATTGTAATTATAATTATTTACGCACGATTGATTCGTTTTTCATATGTTTACTGAAAAAAAATGTTCTTTTTTTCTTCTTCTTTCTAATGATTAATAATTAAAATTTTCATTAATTTTGTTTTCAGTAATCAATGCAAATGATTGAAAGCTGATAGAAAGTTAAAAACAATCTAGGTGTTTGTTGTTTTTTTTCTTTTATATGAATATGTATATTATTGTGACGACATCGTTTTATTACCGTCGAATTCGATAGCAGGCGAAAAATAACTAGAAGAAAAAATGATGTAAGAATGTAGAGGAAAGGTCAAGTGTACGTAAGTCAATAGAGAATGTTAATATTTCAAAAAATTTGTCTACGAATGAAATTGAGATAAATCTTTAACGAAAATATTCTGTACTTTATTCATTAAAACTACAAACAGTTACTGTGGATACTATTAGACTAATTTTTTTATCTATTTATATTTAACAATAGAAGACAGTTTTTCTTTTAATTGAACTAATTCATATCGGACCATATTTTGAAGAAAAATATATAATGAATCATTTTGTTATAAAAATAGCATTGAAGACATACTGTTTATATATGTGACGTCATAGAAGGAGAAAAAAAACGGACTTGGCGTACTTCTTCGTACTTTTCAGTACTTCAATAATTACTTAACTTATATTTCATTTTAAATGTACATGAATGATATTTCTATAGTTTCTATTAATAGTTATTTTAGATGATGTTTGAAAGCACATAAATAATATAAATTTTTTGCAGAACAAAAGAGAAAATAAAAACAAAACGAATAAAGCCGATGGCAAACAAAGAACGTTGAAGAAAAACTATTTAAATGTCTTTGAATAAATCATCTGAGCTAAATAAATTTCTAATTCATGACATAGTAACTCACAAAAAAAAATCAAAACTAACAAATTTATAGTAGAGATAAAACATACAGATATTTAAGCATAATTCCTTTGAAACTTTTGTATTTCTTATATTTTCTCTTTCGAATAATTCTGAAGAAATTTATATATACGTTATCATACTCGAAAGTAAAGAAATTCATTTTATCCTTCTTGCGTCATGTCATTCTTGTTTTTCACTATTTTATTGTTCACGTTCTTCTATTATTATTATTTGATCTACTTCTTCGTGTTTCTTAATCTATGTCATTTTATAAGTAGGGAGAGATAATATCGTATCATTTTCTACTTTAAGTACATCTTTTTCTGGCATTGAACAAGAAGTATTCATTTTTTTCTAAAAACACATTATTGTACAAATATGCGCTTCTATTTTTTAACTAAATTCAAAGAATAATTCTATACAAAAGATAAAATACATTCTTTAATCAAATACCTTGATTTGGACAGTAGTAATTCATTATTTTGATAATATTTTGTGTTCTTATCTTGCTGAAAACATATCGGAATGATTGATATATATGTCTTATGACACATAATAAATCTTATGTTTTGTTAATTTAGAAAATAAGCGACAAGAGAAAATTGAGACGATAATAAAGTTTTATCCTAAACAAGAAGAAAACTGTCCAGCTGCTGCTGCATTCATTCAAATACTGAAATAAGAATAAAAACGAAAAATAGTGATTATTCAGTTGCTGGAGAAGCGTAGAAAATACCTTTAAACATAATTTGCGCAACAACCAGCTATTTTATTTTTGCATTTTGCTGAATATATGTATATATATATATAACAGCTGAACAGAAAGAAAAAATAGTGCAACATGTTGTCGACGAATACCATACGATAATATATAACTATTATTAGACAAGTTTCTTTGTTCTATGGAAAATAAAATGTGTCAGTCGATGAACGATCTAAAACAATAATTTTTATACTAACACCGTTTCGAATATTCACTATTTTATATTCGATATTTCCTTCTTTCGACGTTTATATACAAGATCTTGTCATGATTTAATAGATTTCTCCAATCTATACAATAATCGACAATGTATGAAAGTCATTTTATTTCTTGATATATAAATTCATTTACACATATGAAAAACTCCTATAAAAAACCAATTTTTTAAATAGTTTTCATGATATTCTTTTTCTCGTAAAGAAGAGTCTAGCAAATGTAAATTATTTCTCATCTTAAGCGGGAAAAAGCGGATTTAAATTAGACAAAAATCAAGCTTAAATGATTTAAATTAATAATAATATACAACTATTAGAGTGTGGACAGTTATATTATTCATCAGCTGAAAGCACATCAACCATCAGGATGAGATTTTGTATCGTCTCTTAACCTTCGCTGCACCTACATTCACTCATACCAATCTATATGAGAGTGATTTCCTTCTTTACTATCATTCTCATGACACCACTCACACCTTCAAACGTACTTTCCCTAAAAAAATCAGCAGTAGTTTATTTATTTTGAAACGGAGGATTGTATTGATTGTTCATAACTAATGATCTTGTTTTGAACAGATCAGAAAAAAATAATTAAGTCTATAAAACTTTTCTATATTGTTCTACACATTCAAAAGTAATGTTTTGAACTTTGAATAATTGCAATACATATGATTCTATGCATTCAGAAAAGTTTCATAACTAGAAATGGTATTATTAAATAATAAATTACTGTCTGATGTATGGATACTAATTTATTTCTCATTAGTATCTATTTGTATAATGTTTTATAAGCGTAATGTTTTTAGTAGAGTAGTAAAATGCCAATGAGTAAATAAAGGTTGATCATCGATAAGCCTTAACAATGCAAAAGAACACCGACGTTATCCGAAGCAGAGTTTGCAAAAATAGTATCAGGTTTATTATCGCTATTCACATCCACGACTGCTAGTGAATATGGGTAAATACCAACTGGGTAAGTTGTTTGAGCACTAAAGGTACCACTACCTGTATTGAGAAGAAGACCGATGGTGTTTGAGACATAGTTTGCAACAATAATATCAGGTTTATTATCGCTATTCACATCGGCGACCATTATTGATACTGGGTTAGCGCCAACTGAGTAACTAGTTTGATTATTAAAGATGCCACTGCCTGCGTTGAGAAGAACACCGACGTTATTCGAACCAAAGTTTGCAACAATAATATCTGGTTTATTGTCGTTATTCACATCAACGACTGCTACTGACATTGGACCAGTGGTAACCGAGTAAGTAGTTTGAGCACTAAAGGTGCCATTGCCTGCGTTGAGAAGAACACTGACGGTGCTCGAATAATAGCTTGCAACAATCATATCTGGTTTATTGTCATTATTCATATCGACGAGTACTACTGATATCGGACCAGAGCTAATTGAGTAAGTTGTCTGAGCATTAAAGGTGCCGCTGCCTGCGTTGAGAAGAACACTGACGGTGCTCGAATAATAGTTTGCAATAATAATATCAGGTTTATTATCGCTATTCACATCGACGACTGCTAATGATAGTGGGTTAATGTCGACTGGGTAAGTTGTTTGAGCACTAAAGGTACCACTGCCTGTGTTGAGAAGAACACCGACGTTGTTCGAACCAGAGTTTGAAACAATAATATCAGGTTTATTGTCATTATTCACATCGACGACTGCTACTGATGCTGGCTGAGTGCCAACTGAGTAATTAGTTTGAGTATTAAATGCGCCATTACCTGCGTTGAAAAGAACACTGACGGTGCTCGAATCATAGTTTGCAATAATAATATCAGGTTTATTGTCGTTATTTACGTCGACGACTGCTACTGACCATGGCTTTGCGCCAGCTGAGTAAGTAGTTTGATCAAGAAACAAGTTGCAGGCTAATAAAAACAAAAATTATATTTAGTATTTTGAATGATCTAAAGACAAAAAGTCGTCATTGAATTCTTTAGGATTTGTATATCGTTGCGTCCATTAGCGCTAAGGTGACGAACAGAATGGTGTAGCCTTTTTTTTAAATAATTTTTGATACTCAAGTCTAACTGAAATAATCTTTTGCTTCATTCTATGCACTGTCTCATACAATCTCCTAATCGATACAAAAAAATGACTATATGGAATTGAAAGTCTGTTGGTTTCATTTTACATTCTTTGTCTACTGTGATTACTCTTCATAATGTTCTTTCTCAAAAATTTAACTTGGTTTTGTTCTAAATTTAATCTAATACTAAAACGAAAAAAATTATCCTTCGTCAAATTCATTAAACTTTTTGGTGTCTATCAATAGTGAATTAATCATAATATATTTTCGATATGGAGCAGTTAAAATATCCTCTATTGATTCAATCAAACTATGATTTTTCCATCTAGAGAAGTTTTCTGTGCAATAAACTCATCCTATTTATTCGAGTTTGAGATGATTCGAAATACCCAACAATACATTTTTAAATCTCGTGGAACTATTTCTCTTTTCAAAAACTAATATAAGCATTAAGTATTTAGTCCCACACTCACCACTTGTTGTTGTTGTTGTTGATGTTGATGACGTTGTTGATGATGATGAGGTTGATGAAATTGTTGTTGATGTTGAGGACGATGTAGTTGGTTCTGTTTCGAAAAATAGGGTTAACATGAGACAAGAAAATTGGATATAGCTTTGTTAAGAATCTAGCACTGCTCGAAGTTACAATTAGTAAAGAATATCATTCATATGAGCAAATTTTTTAGATTTTAAAAAGCATAAACATGAAATTCATTTAAATTATTGGAATTTAGGTCTAAAATTAGCTACGATATTTTTGTAGTACTGATAAAGAAAAACCTATAAGTCATATCTGAAATAAACTTACGATATTCTTGAATATTTAATATTGATATTGACGATTGATTAAGAAATAAAAAAACTGAATTTGAATAAAATTCAATATAAATTGTAGTAATATTTGAACGGAATAATTGACAAGTTTGATTTGTTGAAAAATAATTTAAAGCAGATATTGAATCATTCACTTTTATCATTTCACATATACATTGATTTTCTGTTACATTGAATAAATTATTATATACATCATCAACTATTATATAACTCTGTACTTTAGCAATAGGAATAGAATTACAAACAGAAAATAACGATAAAATAAATATTAGCCAACACATATTGTACTTCATGACTTTCTAAAATATTTTATAAACGTTTGATTAGCTTTTCTCACTATTCTTTTTCTTTTATTTTCTACAACACTCTCTCTCTTTAGTTTAATAATTATTCCTTTCAGAATAAAAGCGCTATACGTTTTGCAACAGGGTTTTTTTCCAACAAAAATGATACATTCATAACTACACTATATTGTTCTTGTTTATTTAACTATATAAGTGATTGAATTCGTCACCATCAAGATATTAACAAAAGAAAAAAGTATAAACGGACATATTCTCCTTAAAAGTATTCTCTTTTTATTAAATTGTCTTTTTAAAGTATTTTCGAAATAAAAATTACTGTAATTAAATATTTTTCTTTTGAATATTAATGTAGCCTCACTATCTTCTCTAATGAAATATAAAATTGAGATTAGTCTTTAATTGAGAGCGTATAAGATTGTTTTATATAGGAAATACAGTTTTTCGATTATTGATATGTTTCGTTGAGTTGTAATCTAAAGATTCACTCAAAAAA